AATGGCAAACGGAAGGAGGCTCGTACAGTTTCTCTTGAAAAACGCCTGTTGGGGGAACAAGAGGGTCGTTGAACTAGCTGTCTCGAAAAAAGGAGACAGCTAGTTCAACGGAAAGTGGCGAGGGTAGGGGTAGTAGTATTCGAGAGAAAGGATTTATTTCTGTTTTTTTATGTAAGAAAAAGCGAAGATGGTCTCTATTGCACTTTTCATTAGAAACGGGCCCTTAGATGAATTGGACGACTAGCATCTCCCTTGTCGCATACAGTCACACAGGCTAGAAAACCCCACGTTGACCTAGCTCAACGGAGCTAGTGGGACAAGGTCCCCGGGTCACTTGCCCGGCCGGGCCCAAAATAAAAATAAAAATAAAAATAAAAATAAAAATAAAAATAAAGATAAGATAAAAATTTTAAAATTTACTTCTTATTCTAAATTTGCTGAAAAATTTCGATGCAACCCCGGGGCAAAAGTTGTTCAGTTCATTTTTCTGCATAACATAGTTCTTTTTCGGATTTTTTGGATTTTATTATTTTTATGTTTTTTTCCTGGGACCTTCCCTGGTCCTTGCACGGGCTGGCCACCCGGGACCCGGGCGGCCCGGCTGGTAGCCTAGTATATATATATATATATATATATATATAGGGTTGTTGATCTTTTGAATATCCGCAACCCCATATATTCTTTCTTTTACTTTTTTAAGTTCATATGTACTTTTTTAAATAAAAACGTACGAACCGGGAAAAAAAAAGACACACACACGGGACACCCGCCCCCCCCCACGAGCACACACATGCTGGTCCGGTCCAAATTCATTCGAGGCCGCGGGGTACGAAAAATGTGGTAGGTACTGGTGGCTTAAGCCCCTCGAAGGCCCACCATGTTTTTATTGCCTTTTCAAACTCAGCGTGTGACTGACCTGCCCGTACGAGTTTTTTTTTGGGGAAAGAAGTTATAAAACCTCCCCCACAAGGAAACCTTTGTGTTCTTTTCTCCCCAAACGGGGCAAAAAGTGTCGCAGGCCCAAAACTGACTTTCGGTGTCATCTTTGCACCCTGACTGGCTGGCCCGGTAATGCCGGCTGTGCAAAAATGGCCGGAAAGCGTAACCGCCGGCTGTGCAAAAATGGCGGGAAAGCTTTTTGGGGCCTTCGCTGCGGTGTACAGCGCAGCGGGGCAGACTTGTGTTTGAATGTGGGAAGAGGCGGGAGGTCGTACGGTATGCCAGCCATCGTTCGACCTCATCTGCCCTGCCCCTTCGACAATGGTTTGCTGCTCTTGCCTGGGGACGCGATGAGGAAAAGGGCTTGCATGAAAGCCTCCTTGCCTGATGGAGTCTGCAGGCGATGGTGGACGGCGTCCCGACAGCTGCTGCGACCATCCATACCTTGTTACGTACGGAGTCCGAGTACTACACGAACGGAGCTTGCAATCCACACACTTCGGTCACGCGCGAATCAAAACTTGCAAGCCTCTTTTTTTTTTCTTTTTTTTTTTTCAAATCAACAAGAAGCCTCAACTTCGGTATCGGGCAAATCAAAGATTGCAATCCCCAAAGTTCAACTTCGGGCTCCAACCCAGTCAACGGAAAGTATAGACACGACTATACAATTATTCCATTGTTTCGAACAGCAACCTGCGTGGGATCAACAGGAGGAACTTGCGTTCTGTGTATAGTGAAAACGTGTTTGTTTGTTTTTTTCGTTCAACCTGCAAGTAAGATTTTTTTTTTTTTTTTTTTTTTTTTTTAAAANAAGGAATGTATGAGGAACCTGCCAGCATTGATTGCCCTGGTCGCCAGGGGATTGACTGCGCAGGGGGGGAACCTCTTCCCCCTCATTCTGGCACCGGGAGGAAAAGGACCCCATTGTCAAGGAAGCCATCCGAGAATCCTACAGTCAACAATGGCAGGACCCACACAAAATGTTTTCTGAACTGGTCTTTTTTTCTTTTTCTTTTTTTTAAGAACAAATCCTTCCAGTGTTAGTGATGCTGATAAGAGCAGACACCACTATCACCTGGGGAAAGGCTCCATCTATTGGTGGGGAGCATCACCTGCTGGAAAACGGGTCCAGCGTCCCATTATGAGCATGACACAACTGGAATACAGCAAAAGGAATGTATGAGGAACCTGCCAGCATTGATTGCCCTGGTCTCCAGGGGATTGACTGCACAGGGGATTAGATAAGTTAAATTTTGTTTTTTCTTCCAGGAACACGCACCTTCTAACGACAGATCTACTGGTGAAGATAGGTATCTGTCATGCACAGCAGGCGCCTCCCACTGCCACAGATTGCTGTGTCGGCAGAGGATGTGTGAGACAAACGAGTCCAAACTGCATCAGCTGGAAATAGATGCAAAATTCACGAATTTGGAACAGCAACCCACATGCCTTCCACACCGAAAACTTGCAACTTGTCTATGGTGCTAGCCCGCGCTATTATTCCTCTGTGATGGCAATGATATTATTAAAAAAAACAAGAGAAAACTACGGCGCAGTCAGGGATTGAGTTTGTAATTGCACTTGAGGCAAAAGGGCCGGTAATGCTGAATGTATGTGACCTACGTTTCAGGTCCGGTGGGGTCGCATGGGGGTGTGTTGTATTCGCGGGATTGCCTGAAGTGCAATTACAAACTGTTTTCGTGACTGCGCCGAAGTTACCCCAAAAAACAAAAGGGCACTAAAAAAACAAACACGTTTCTCCCACCATAATCGACCTTCACAGCACACAATCTGTCATGCACACGGCGCGCCTCCCACTTCCACAGCTTGCTGTCTCAGCACCCATACTTCAACCGACAACATACTCCACAGGGGATCGATAATGCAAAACAGCAAATAAATATTCTAGAAAATAAACAAACAAAGCAAACCAAAAAAATATACCTTACTCTCCAGCCACGTCGACTAAAACACCCTGCAGCCTACGACAGAAAACAAGGTCTGAAAAAACAGACCCTTCAACTCCTCGTACGCCGAAACCACCCACGTCCTGCACCCACGTCGAGACATCGTTGGAAAGCCCTGTCCACCCTTCGACGGGCACTGCTACTTCTGCCAACGAGAACACGGCATGGCAACGGAGGCACGTCCACACCTCAATGGAATCCGCGCCGTCCCCAGTCCACCCTTTCCACTATCACCGCTGCTACTGGAGGTGCCAATGACAACGCAGCATGGCAATGGAGCAACGCGAGGTAACCGAAGCCATGGACATCCCACGTCGAAGGCGAGATGAGGAGTGGCGGCTGCATCCCAGACTAGAACTACCACGGGTCGACCACCGGAGAAGGCCTACGACCGCTCACCTTGTCGTGCGCCTGCCCTACCACCCCTGCGTGCACTTCCCCAGAGCGGGCACCAGCTGTGGACCGGGAAAAAGATCTGATTGGCCTACCGTTCCCATGTCGAGGCCCTCCAGGGAGCGTTGCCCTGTGGCACACACATATGGACCACGGACATAGGGGCTGACCATCCCCATCTTTTGCGTTGCAGAGACGTTTGCGGCACTTTTCCAAAAAGGTCCATTCTCTTGCGGAATGGAATCCGCGCTGCAAGCCCAAAAAACCCTGCGATGGTGCTGGCATCTCCTGCGAACGCGCAAACAAGTCCGATCCCCATAAAGCCCAAAAAGTACTTGGCCTAAGTCCTGTCGGATCACTAGCTTAGAGGGTGCAAAAATTACCCCAAAACTAATTTGGGGGGCTGCGGCATTTTTTGCCCCGTTTGGGGGGAAACAATTACAAATACAAAGGTCTCCTCGCAGGGAGGTTTTATAACTTTTCCCGTTTTTTGTTGCCTACTCTATACACGATTGTGACTGAAACCTACTCCCCCTAAAAGCAGAAAAACACGCAGAAACCATGGCGAAACTGTTCTCTCGGGGACTCTCACGGACGGACTCGTCAGGACGCTGGACGCTCAAATGCATCCTGCTTACGCTGGACCCGATTTCCAGCAGGTGCTGCTCCCCACCAATAGATGGAGCTCCCCCTCTTACGGGGTGCTAGAGGTGACTTCTCATCCCGATCCCGTTCCCAAGAGGGCACCGTCGCGCCGACCAACAAACAGAACAGCAAGCAGCAGAACGCGAACGGTGTGAAGGCAGGAGCTCAGGCACAACAAGACGATCAGGATTGCAATCAGCAAGTACTGCTAAGAAGCAGATGGGCAGCCGCGTGGCCAGGCACACGTGCCAAGACATTGACGACAACACCTGGAGCCTCAGAAGGGGAAGCAGGGAGCAGTCAGCGGAGTCAAGCAGCGACTCAATTTGAAAGAGGGCGGAATGACACTGGGCCTCGCTCCACTACTCTTGAAATGTGCAAAACGAGAGTGAATCTTTCGCTAGAACATACAAAGATACACCACCATGATTTTGTCTTATGCGCATTTCTAGAGTAGTGGAGTGAGGCCCACTGTAGCATCCAACCACGTGATGGAACATGGAAAAGTGAATGGCCAGCTTCTGATAATCCAGACAAGGGAAGCGCAGGTAGCCCCCGGGTAGGGGAAGGAGGAGGAGGAAGGGGAAGAGGATCCGCTGGAGGAGGAGGAGGAAGGGGAAGAGGATCCGCTGGAGGAGGAGGAGGATGGGGCACAGGAGGAAGAGGAGGAGGAGGCAAAGCAGGAGGAACGGGGGGAGGAGGAGGAGGAGCAGGTGGGGGAGGGGGACGAGGAGGAGGAGGAGGAGGAGGAGGAGGAGGAGGACGAGGAGGAGAAAGAGCCCCAGGAGGAAGAGGAGGAGGAGGCAGAGGAGGAACAAGAGGAGGAGAAGGATGACGAGGAGGAGGAGGAGGAGGCAGAGGAGGAAGAGGAGGAGGAGGACTGTCTCTTATACACATCTAGATGTGTATAAGAGAATGATGTATGTTTGGTCTGCGTTGCAACATTGAT